TCATCCTCATCATCAGGTGATTTATTGTTAAACATTCAATTACATTTGGAATAAGGTTTATTGTGGAACGGTTGCATTGGCTGCAAATTAACCAATTGCCTTTTGGGTTTATTAATGTTATAGAGTGACCTCCCCGGTTTCTTCGATCCAGCACTTGGTGAAGAGAAAATGCTTCATGTGATCTACAATTATCATGAACAGCCCCATGAAGTTACTATCAGGGATCTGGAATCTCTAAGATTGCCTAAAACTTGTAAGTATAATTCTAATAAATAGTAAGTGAATAGGTCAAGCATTAAATGAATCGAAACTATTTAGATTACGACCCAGTCTAATACAGAGATAAACAAAATCAATAAAAGGTATTTGTTTAATGTCACATGAATTGCGTTTATAGGCTAGGTTCTTCTTTGTGCCCTAAGATAGTAACACTTTTTGAAGAAATCTGTATTACAGCCAGATGTGGACGTGATTTTATGATTTAAATATTTCATTTCAGTTGGGACTGAAATATTAAGTTTTAACTTCTTTTCCAGTTTAGACTGAAAGCAACTAATTTTATTTATTTCAGCTCATAGGACCAGTGTTACCTAATAATACCGAAAACAGTTGGTATAGTTGAATTAGAGTGGAAAAAGAAGCAAAAGCCTGAGTACTTCACTTAAGCGAGATTTGTATAAATTCTGGTGCAAATGTTTGGATTATGTTTTATTGCGCCACAATGGTCAAGTTGAATTATGTTGAATCGGCCTTTCTTTAGTTACGCACAAGTATTTATTAACATTTGACAGTTAAAAAATAAAGTTGTTATAGATGTCAGTATTTTATTGGGTAATTTAACTAAGCTTAATTTTTTTACAGATATATTTACAGGCATATTATTAATTTGCAAGATGCAAAGCAAACTCGCCAAAATGTACACGTCGAATCAACATTTTTATAAACATTACAAATTTATATTTTAAAATAGTCCAATACTACACGGTATATTACATGAGTTGTACTATGAATACAAGTTTTTTAGAAACGCTGCTCCTCCGAATCTCAAATTCATTTCCTCAGCTGAAGTCCAAGTTTTATTTGCTTCCAAACACCAACTACCCAGGTATGCATGTGGCGGATTTCCATTCCAATCCTTTCAATAAGATATATTACGTATTTCTTGTAACCATCAAAATTGTTTATTGAATTTAAATTATTTACAGGGCTTTGTGTAATTACCTGCGGAGATAACATACTAAAATATTGTTGAGCCGAAGGTCTTTGATAGAGATGATATGTTTGTCCTGACTTTTTCACAAAGTTGCAAGCTGCTGAATGCAATTTCTTGTCTCTCTGGGCCTCTTCATAGGGTTTTCGGATATTTTCCTGAAGAAACCTCATCTAAAAATCAACAATACTTTAGCCTGTAACTATATTCTACTACAATCTATTCGAAGTGTATTGAGAGAGATATGAAAACACTCAAAGGTCGTCTGATGAAGTTGTAGGTAACTTTAATTAAATTATTTTCTAGCTATATTATATATATCTCGGTCTTCTCGCACCAAGTACCGGGTGACAATAAAAAAATTACAACCAAATTGTCACGAATGTGACATGAATATTTATTAAATTTGGAAGTTTTTATTGTTGATTGTACTTGATTCTCCGTCAAAAATACTACATATATGTTCTATTTCAATTTTATTCGACACTTTTAAGCTACTTTGTTAAGATGTCAATCCAAAGAGAAACAATTTTGGCGTTACATGAGAAAAAGCTTCCGGTCGATATTGTGCGAACGCTCGGCATCGACAAATCTAACGTCTGACGAACTATCAAGAGGTTCGAAGGGATTCGCCATACTGGTCGCCGCCCAGGAAGTATCAGAAAGCGCACCGACCGAACCGTAAAGGGTCTCAAGCTCGTCGCAAACGTGTCAGGGGAAATCCGAAGGTCTCCATGAGAAAGCTCGCGCCTGAGTCTGGCATAAATCGGGAATCAATCCGCCAAATAGCCAGAGAGGATCTCCATCTCAAGCCCTACAAGCTCCAAAAAGTTCAGCTCGTCACCGACGATAACAATCACGTCCGACTTGAAAGATGCAAACGACTCCTTCAGTGGAACAGCGGCTATCGTCGAACAGCGCCAAAATCCCGCGGCCGTTAAGACCCCGTCGTTGGGTCCGACTGGTATAAATCGGGAATCAATCCGCCAAATTGCCAGAGAGGATCTCTTTCTCACTCGAGTCCGGCTTGAAAGAGATGCAAACGGCTCCTTCGTCCTTCGTCGTCACACTCAAGGGGAGTGTGACTTCATCGGGGCAAAATCCTCTTCACGGATGAGAAGCTGTTCACCGTTGAACAAGCCTACAATCACCAGAACGATAGGAGTTGATTATTAGCAGAAGAGGGAAAATTTTCGGCAGAGTTTGGTGCTCTGCCGAGACGCACAAGGAGGTCACTTCAAAATCGGATGAGTATGTTGTAGTCAAAATAGTTGTTTATTGTTCTTTGTTGACGAATTTTGTTTTTATTGAAAATTAAACATTTTATGAAGTTCTTGCTAGAGGTAATTTTTTGCGAAAGCGAAAAAATTGGGAATCTTAAAGTTACAGTGATTTAGAAGTGCAAATGGATGAAAGCTCACTTGAAGTTAGAGGTGGACAAACTAAAAATAACGAGAAACTGAAATATCTCATTATTTTCCTAGGTACTTTATTATTAAATGGATATACGACTTTTCACCAGAAAAATGGAGTAAATAATGGTGACTTCTCAGGTTAGTAGTAAAATAGTGGTTTTTGTTACAAGGGCGAAAAGTGTCGTTTTTAGAACGACGACGACGTCGTTTGAGACCCGAGACGAAGTCGAGGGTGTCAATCCGTCAGGAGTTCGAAAATGGATTGCGCTCAAAAGGAGCTACGAATAAACAACACCTTTTTCCAACACAAACCGTAACATAAATTCACATTTGAGAACACGCGAGGACATAAATCCGTAATAGATTACGTGGTAACCAACAGAATCATCCGCCCACGCAGAGTCCAAGCCGTCAGGACCTCAGTGAATGCCGGAACTAATCATGGCTTCGTGCTGGCGAAAATTTCAGTCGCTCTGAAACTGAAAAAGAGCGAACCGACGACGGGCACTAACAAAATCAACGTGGAGTCTCTATCTGATACCTCAACAAGATATCTGTACTAACGAAGATTGGAGGAAAAAATCCAGGCCTGCAAAATATAACAGCCGGACGAGGTAGAAACCCCTTGGCAAGAAATGAAATCGAACATAATAGGAGCTGCGCAAGAAGCACTTGAAAAAAGGCGCCCGCACGGGGGGAAGGAATCCAAATACCAAACCGTGGTTCAGTCAAGAGGTCAAGACGGTGGCGGAGGAAAAACGAAGGTCAGAGTGAAACTGAAATAATCGATAACGTACAATGACTACAAGCTTGTAACACCCCCGCATAATAACTACAATTGCCAAGCTAAACACCCATAACTGCACATAAATAAAATTAGCAGATAGGCTTTCCGAGAAAATACCCGTAGCAATTGGAATAGACAGGGAGACAGTCTCAGCTCCACCCTATTCAACATAATCACGGACGAAATGATCACAGTGGTCAAGAGGTTGGGGCGAGCATATCGGATGGGGAGATGCAAACTCGCAGTAGGCGGAAAGAGCGTAGAACAAGTTATGAATTTCAAATATCTAGGTGTCAATATAACCAGCATCAGCGACTTGAAGAAAGTCATTCTACAAGTAGATGTAGAAAATTTACAGCGGAAACTAGTGATGAGTGAGACATTGAAATAGTCTGTCGTCTGCCAAGAGGCCCTTAAAACATTTCTCTTTGCCCAATATGATATCGTGAGCTTGAAAAATACATTTAGAGAAAATACAACAAGACAACGATACTACCGATACTTTAAATACGATTATTTGGGGTTAGTTTTTGTCTTATGCTCTTCAAAACTAAAAAGGATAAAACTATTCGATACGGAATGATTAAAACCGTGTTAAGTTTGACATAAACAAGCATTTATACCAAACAAAAAAATCTGATACGTTTCGCACATATCATGATCTCGAACTCATCAATCATCATCATCATTTTAGCCCACTATAGCGTCCACTGTTGAACATAGGCCTCCCGCAGACTGTGCCTCTCATGCCTATTCAGCGCGACCTGCATCCAGTTCGTTCGGACTCTCCTTAAGTCGTCCGTCCATTCAACAAAAGTATATAACAAACTATACCTCTCTAAGACAGCTAAATAAAGACACCTCTAAAGCTATCAGAAAAGACATTAGAACATATAACACATCACAGGAAAAAAAACGACTGAAGAAAATAAAAGCATGAAGATACTCATCAACATCTGGAAGTTAGCAGATAAACATGGGAACATTGTTACAAGCAGGGAGGAATTGCTTATAGTGGTGACGGATTTCTATTCAGAGCTATATTCAAACCAAGCTGAACCACTAAATAAACTGCAAATACCAAAAGTCCAGAACGTGGGATCGGAAGATATCCCAGAGATAACTATTGATGAGATTAAGTCAGATAGAAAATATATGAAGAATAACAAATCGCCTGGCGATGATGACATAACAATTGACTATATCAAGGAAGGAGTACTAAAGGGTACAACACCTTCTCAATGGACAAATGCCGTCATCATAATTATGCACAAGAAAGGCGATGTCACAGATCTGAGGAATTATCGGCCAATAAGCCTACTGTCCCACGTATACAAGCTATTCATGGTAGTTATTACAAAGAGGCTCATCAACAAACTTGACAACTACCAACCCTGTGAACATGCTGGCTTTCGTTATGGCTATAGTACTAACGATCACCTACAAGTGATAAAATCTCTAATAGAAAAATGTGTCGAATACAACAAACCACTAGTGTTGATCCTTGTAGACTATGAAAAAGTGTTCGATACTGTGGACCAACATGAGACGCTCCTAGCCCTAGCAGATTGCCGTATCGACCACCGCTATATAGCACTCATAAAGAACATGTAGGACACTGCCACAGCTCATGTTAGACTTCATGTCGATCCTGACAAATTTAATTATAAATCGTGGAATTCGACAGGGCTATACTATCTCCCTTAGACTGTTTAATACATTACTTCAATACATGTGTAAAAGAATAGAATGGGATGATATGGGTATTAATGTCAACGGTGAAAACCTCAACCACCTCAGGTTCGTCGATGATTTAGTTTTAATCTCAGACCGAATTGACAATGCCAGAGCATCTCTTGAAAAATTCCACCAGGCATYYGGACAAGTTGGACTAAAAATCAACAGACCAGAAATTCAATTTATGACTAATCTAGTAGTATCCACCAATATACCCTTAGGTTATAATGAAGTACAAGTAACATCATATAAATACTTGGGCCACGAAATCCGAAGAGGCCGGAATAATCAGACCTCTGAAATCTTTAGGAGAATAAGTCTGACATGGGCAGCATTTGGCAACCTCAGAGAATCATTCAAGTCTGAACTCCCCATATGTTTAAAGCACAAACTTTTTAGCCAATGTGTCATTTAAAACTTCAAACATTCAACTTCATTTAAAACATGTTATTAAGTCGATTCAACATTTTAAAATATCGAATTATTCGCAACTGATTAGAGTGACTATACTTTATACTTCTGTCAGTAAAATTATCTGGTTTTTACTGTTTGCCATTCAGTTTTCAGTTAATTTCTATGGCTAAAGTGTAAAACCTCGTAAATTATTTCCATTTAGCCTTTTATTCGATAAACACTTCCAAAAAATCATAATCTTTAAGCCTACGAAAGTCCATTATTAATTTTACTGATCTCTGGGACCATCTGCCAAAACCTCGTAAGATTTATTTGCCAGACAGTAATGCAAAAATCTCTGAATTCAACTTACGAGGTTTTGATATTTAAAGTTTAGTGATGGATGTGGATACCAAAACCGGAACGTGAACTTATCTAACGCCTTCTCAGTTTTGGCCAGAACAGAAAACCAGCACCCTCCAATGGAGTGCGACTCAATTCACGCCTGCATAGAGAAAACAAAAAAATGTGGAGGTGTATGTGCCCTGGTGTAATGTGCAAATAGCAAAAACCGCTAAAATAAAAAATCAGTATAAAGTTAATTAAATTCTTTATATAATTTTTTGACGCTAAAAATTAAACTTAATAAGTTCCAACAAGAACACCTCCAAGAATTAAAACAGTTTATCCCGGAGGACTACAGTCCATTTTACGACAGCCTTATTAGTGAATAAAAATAACCACCTAAGATAAGTTTCAAAGGTTAAGGAAAAATGCTCTTTCAATACTATCTAAACCACAGGATTTAGTTGCGTATTTAGTAAAGATTTTTTTTGTAATTTCTGAATAAACAGCTTTAATAAATAAAGTAGATTTATTTATTTAACCAACATATTTAATTATTATTGTTAACAGATTGATTTTTGATTTTAGAAATTGATATTTCGTTACAAAACCTCGTAAATTTTAAGTACATTTTTTTAATCAACATAAAAATATGTATATCTCGGCAAATGCTTCAGCATATCACATTATTTTAATTAAAATACTTTTTAAAATTTCTCAATTAGAGTGTAACCCTTTTTCACTTCTCCTGTACATTTATAAAAAACGAAGGTTTTGCACTTTAACCATCGTTTCGTTGATTTACGCCCAAATGCGCTTATGTAATATTAAAGAGAATATCGTCATTTTCAAGTGCTATCAACTACATAGTTGCAAAGTTTATTATTACGTTTTTAGCAAATAAGTACTTTGATTTTCTCAGAATATTTTGTGGTGTTTTTCCTGTTCTTTGTAAATACCGCCCCAAGGATTAAATAAAATAATATCGTCAGTTTTGAACCACTCTTACAATTCTTACATTTAAAGAACATGCATCCAGTTCCACCATTTCGTCATATGTATGTTTGCCTACATGATCTGGATTTACCAGGGAATAGTCCATGGGCTTATGATCTCTCTCTACTAGATCTAAAACAAGTTCCCGAATAAAAGTTTTTTGATGTTTCCATGCCTGCAAGATTAAACGATTGATGATCTATTTTTACCGACAAATTTGATAATTAAGCAAATAAAAATATTATTTCTTACTGTGGGTCCCAGAAGTAATGCATCGTCTATCTGGAATTTGTACTGCTAATTCTGAGTTTGATTCCAAATCCATCATAAAATCAGTACATTCTACTCTCTGCTCAGGCTTAAACTTTTTCGGGGTATGTAAGTGAATGCCGGATGCCACTACAAAAAATAGTTTTTGTTAAAATTTCCAAGTAACAGAATGTATCAGTAAAATGATACATTAAAAAAATCCTTTTAGTTCTTAGGATTCTTAATATTAATTTGAAACACGTCCTCTACATTGTTGCCGAATTTATGTTTTAGATTTTTGTTAATGTTTTTAGTGCAAAACTAGTTTTCTGTCATGCTCGGTGCTTATGTGCTTTATATCTGTCGAATTTTGGCGTTATTTTTAATTTTCCCTTAAARTAAAGCACATTCAGCGAAAAAAAAATGCGCATGGTCCATAGCATCATGCTCGAAAACATTTACAAACCTTGATAAAATCTCCATATTGTGTTCATATTTACGMCATACTTTGTGCAGTGTTTACAGACCGCCCGCCAAACTTATATGGAAGTCCATAGAGGGTTTTCTTGCTGATTGGATCTAGAGTAAGCTCCTATAAAGAGTTACTCAGCGCATTTAAATATGGCCCTCCCCCAGTCTTCATTTGCTCCTTCTTTCCTTACCGCCTTTTTTATATTTTCATAATATTTTTTTAACTGCTCTTTCGACTTATGCTTATGCCCATGCCCAGTGGTTTGCGAATTGAATGCAGCTGAAATTTTGCTCCACGCCACTTCTTTGTCTCCCCACTTGGTAGCATTCGTTTCCTTATTTTCCACAATTTGTTTGAAATTGTGGATTACAATAATTAACAGATGTTTTYCCTTAAATGAAAAATTTTGAGTATTTTATTTTCATATGACTCCATAATTAATAATATTAATTGATTATATTTGTGACGTACACAATGTAYTTCACCCAACAGGTCCATTGAAAAAAATATATTTTTATTATTTCTCAACGCTGAACCCATATTCTTATTATTAATAATAAGTATATGGCTGAACCACTGTTGAACGGCTGATTTCAGGGGGTCATCTGAACTCGGATTTGATCTGCCGTTCAAGCTTGATCGCTACAGGTACAACCRAMAATTTTCGTTKAACCACGTTCACCGCTGAACTGTCGGTAAACTTGGAGTGTGCAACCGACCCTAAGTTTAAAGATGCGTTAAATTTGGGTCGGTTTACAAGGATTTTTGTAGGTTCATTGTTCATCAATTTTAATTATTATATACATAATTTAATTCAATTTGAATTGTCAAGGAAACTGTCTTTGCGCATACACCAACAGTACTTGTGTATTATCAGTTATGAGAAAAATAATCAAAAATATAAATGTTGTTACCACGAAGTTCCAAACAAAATCACGTTAAGTGTTGCAATGCTAAAAACCTCCTTAACAAAGTCAGAATTAATACTAAATCGTCGTTGCGAAACAGTCGTACAATTAAAAGTAATTAACTCTCATCTTAAGGAAGGGTTATTAGGGAGTTTTTGGGCCTCTTAATCGCAACACGCTTTACGTTATCCGCTATTCTGAGCATGCGCAATAGTAAAGAAATAACTGTTTACGTTATTAGAGGATAACGTGTTCCTTTATTTACGTCCGAGTAGCGGTAACGTTAATAAGCATCACTTTAAAAAGCAGAACGACGGTGTTGACATTTTTGACTTATTTCTAATATTATTAATAAAATAAGCGGCTATAATACATTAATAAATCTATTGTAAATCTATATAAGACGTTTTCATTGATTAATTTACGCCATTATTGCGTAATTACGGATTTTATGTGAAAATTGTTTAGGCAAATTTGAATTTTGGCAACACAGGCTATATTTTTTTCTTAACCGTCCGCACCAGTCCTGCCTCACTGCCATGTTGCCGCTATGCACATACTTGGTTTTTAACCACCGGGCCTTGTTCGAATAGCGACGCCAGACCTCAGAGAAAGTCGTGTGGCGAACTCTATCCGCCACTTCTGAAGTAGCAGCTCCAACCAAAATGCCAGCTATATCTCACCCAATAACATCTGCGCCGTTTCGGTTCAAATACAACTTCCAATACTAAATACTGTATCCGTCGTTTAAGGTAGGACCTACCTAAGCTTTAGCGACGAGTCCAATGGGTATGCCCGGGACAAAACGCATGGTGCTCAACGAGCGCCATAGTCGTTTACTTTTTTTTAGTTAATTGTTTCTGGTTAATGTTTGTTTGCGTTTAAGACGCAGTCTTATAGGAGAAAAAAATGTTATGCTACTGTCGCGTAGATTCCCCCTCCATTCGCTCGAGTTGCGAGCAGAGGGCGCCTCTGTCTCCTCTTGTGGAGAGCGGGAATCACGACCTTGTCCC